CAGATCCGCTCTGCAAAGGGAGCAAGGCAAACTGTTCCCATTCGAGTCCTCAGGCCTGCTCGTTTACAAAAAATCAAGGCAAGCCCCACCTGGCCAGGATGCTGTTGAAATGGACCACTGGGGCAGGGGCAGCCGTGGCACCTCTGCTAAGGGAGTCCGCGGCAAGCAGGCAATCTTTGTACCCTCCGGGGGTTTTGGGCAAGGGCCCATTGAAGTGGCACTGGAGCCCTTCCCAAGGAACTGAGACTTGTTGATGCTGTGGCAGAACCTCAGGGTCAGACCCGTCTGCCTGGGTCAGGGCAGAGGCTGGACAATCCCCCTGCCTGTTGGGATCTGGGCAGCGCCAGGGCTCCACCTGCTGGGCAAGCACCAGAATGACCGACTTGGGAGTCCCGGACCTGCCGACTGGAGCCCTGGCTGGGAGCCCTGGGGGGATGTGGATCTAATTTATTGTTGTAAGCCGCCCCGAGGCTTCGGCGAATGGGACGGCATAAAAATGTTTTAATTAATAAATAAAATAAAATAAAATGAGCCATTTCAGAGCAGACTCTTCCCTCCAGAAGGGGTCTCCTCTGGGCTATAGCCTTGCGCCTGCCCTGCCTTGCCTGCCCCACCTTGTTGCTCCTGAGCCACCCTCTGGCTCTCCTGCTCCAAGGCTCTGCTGCCCCCCCTTATCCACCTCTGGCTTGCTTCTGACCGTGCTTTGCCTTACTGCCGGATGGACTCCTTCCTCCCGACCTCAGCCTGCTCTGTGAGCGGGACTTGGACTTGCTCTTGGGCCTTGGGCAGTGCTGGACTCTGTCTTGCCTTGGGTCCTGGTGCTTCTGCCTCGCCACCTGCTACCCTCGCCCTGGACGCCGGCAGCACCATCGATCCGGCCCATCCTTCCTTGTTTCCTTTCCTTCCTTCCTGTCTCTCAGTCCCTGGTTTTGCCCTCCGCCCTGGTTGATGGATGAACTGGATAACCCTCCCCTACCTCCCCTACCGCCCTGTGACTATCCAGTGACACAGCTGGTCTGAACTCTGGCCTACCACAATCCAACCTCCAGATGCGTTTTGTAGTTCCCCTTTGGACTTTGGCCTGCCTTCCGCCCTTGTGTCTGTGCAAGGTTGGGCAGATGTTCCTGGTTCCCCTACGGCTTTCTCTGCCCGCTCAAGGCATTGCGGAGGGACGGGCTCCTGTGACCCTTTCTTTCCCTGGCTCCCTCTGCTTTCCCAGACCATTTCTGGCACTTGCTGAATCGCTCCCTGCCCTTCTGCCCATGTGATTTGCAGGCAGCAAATTCTACACGTGCCTTGTTTGGACCCTTGGTCCAGCATGGGCTGCCGGTCTGAGCTCCTTGCATCATAGTGCAATTGCCCCGAACTCGGAAGACTGCAGCTGCCACTCTGGCCAGCGTTGTCTTCCGGTTCAGATGGAGCTCGTCTCTCCTTTCCATCACGGTTTGAGCTACGGGTCTTCTCTGGCTCCCTTTAGTATTTCTGCTTCTGGCCCCAAAGGGTCTGCGCTGCAGGCTCTGGTCTCAGACACGGCACGCAGCGGGTACATGCCTTGAACTCCCTAATCTCTGCATCTGAGACATTTTGAAAAACTCAGTTAACACCTAGCTGGGCTTCTAGTGGTGCCTGAAATGAACCTCCCTGACCTGCTTTTCACAACAGGAAACGATGCAGCGTTGTCCTCTTCACTTGCCTACCAAAACCTCCGTGCCTGCTTTTGCTCGGGCCAGTTCCATGCTGGCCTTGTTGGCCGCATTCTCTGCCTTCCTCCCCGTGATACACTGCAAAGAAAAATCATACAGCGGCAAAATAAACATCGAGAAAGAGAGAAGTCCACGTGCACTGCGAGCATGACACTTTCCTATGAGACTTTACCAAGTGTCCCTCTCTTAGTGTATCCGCTGCCGGAGATGCCAATTTTTCCCTCTGTTCCCGCTGTCCTGCCCAAAGGAGCACCGAAGAGTAATTGCACTCCCGAGGCAGAGACGAGAAAAGGAGGTTTTTTGCAAGAAAGGCCCTCGCTCTTGGAACGATTTCATAAATTGCACTGAGACTTCTGCAACCTCAGATGTTGTTCTAGATAGAGTATGGGATAGAAAGCCTACGGACGGGGTGAATTTTATGTACCTTTTAATGACTCTTAAAATAAGTGAATCTGTGGGTTGCATCCTGACCACAGCAATATCTTACAGTTTTAAGATACTGTTACATTTTTTCAGTTCTCGCAATTTGCAAGCCCTTTTCTGTTGCACAGATGCCTTAGATAGATATTTATGAAATGCAGACACATATTAAATTTATTATTTCTCAAACACAAAACAAAACTAGGGGTTAATGAAGATTGCCATGGGTCATCATTTGCTTGGGATAACTCTACATTACTCTTTCCAGCAATTAATTTTTATTCAGAAAACAAACCAGGTGCTTTGTTTGACAGGTGCACTGACAAGGAAATATAGTTGATGGGGAGATGGAATAAAACCACATGACTCTGATTTGTTCTTAGCACCTGGTACAGCTTATCGATTGAAAAACAATGTAGATTTTCCAGTCATTCCAAGAACGAAGGTTTTTCTTGTAATAAACCTTCTTTTCTCGTCTCTGCCTCGGGAGTGCAATTACTCTTTGGTGCTCCTTTGGGCGGGACAGCTGGAACAGAGGGAAAAATTGGCATCTCTGGCAGCGGATACACTAAGAGAGGGACACTTGGTAAAGGCTCATGGGAAAGTGTCGTGCTTGCAGTGCACGTGGACTTCTCTCTTTCTCGATGTTTATTTTGCCGCCGTATGATTTTTATTTCTGTATGTAATTATCTGTCCTTATTCATCTTATTGAAGTACATACTTCTGAAGAAGGAGCAGGAGAAAGGGAAAGGAGAGGTTAGGTCTATGTGAGGAAAAAATGAAGAGGAGGATTACATAAACTGTCTTGGATTCCTTGCAGGAAAAAAAAAAAACCACTCACACACATTGTATGGGTAAACTTAACATATTGTAAAAAACAAGCAAGCAAGCAAGCAAGCAAACAGTAACAATAACACCAGTGCAAGAAGTTAAATTTTTGTTCAGGATATGGTTTATTAAATTCATTTGTAGATTAGGAATTCTTGGGAGTGGCCAACGACTACGGCATAGCTCAACTGTCTGTGATAGGGTTCCTTCTTTATTTAATGCATCCTTGCCCCTGCTCTTTAGCCTAGTAATTTTAAAAACCACTGAGAGTTCAATAGGCACTGCCCAGAGGTTTCAGTTCAGCCCTAAGGGGCACGTTTTCCAGGATTGGGCCCTCCGAGGTGCACATGGTCTGGCCAATACAGGGTGGAGAGCCAGCATGGTTGGTCAGTGTAGAAAGAGTTAAATTGCTAATCACAGCCAGAATTGAATTAGTTGAACCGAATTCTTTTATGCTTTATCATTCTTGACCTAGCTCATTTTACGGCCTATAAAAGTGACCTCTGCAAGTGTCAAATGAAGTACTTCTCATTGAATATTCTTCAACATTTTCATATTAAAATTAATTTCAGCTTTGGAATGACAAATGGACCCCCGCCCCCAGCCAAGCATTGCCAAAGTAAAATATTACTATGCCACCTTTGGATTTAAGCAAGAAAATATCATTTATCCCTTTCAAGCATATTTTGGTAGCTTTCCTTTAGAACAATGCAATTTCAGCCTGCAAATAAATAATCTATGCAGTAAAATATTACTATACTTGCATGTTGACATGAAATACATCATAACTGCATAACCTGCCAAATTTCGTCTCTCACGCATATACCACAGACCACAATTGTAGAGTTTTTGCTAGTCTTGTTTGGTTATTTGAAGAATCTGGTTGGGCAGAAAAAAGGAACAATCTTCCTGGTTGGGCATCCAGCCCCCACATCCCTCCCCCAAAGGGAAAAAAACCCTTCATTGCTACTATTCCTATTTTACATCGTAATCCTATGAGTATTTACTGGGAGATCTACCGAGTTCTATGAAATGGACATTCACGTTATCCCAGGATAGTGGTCTTATGCATGCCAATTCTGGGGGAATAAAATCCCCATAATAAAATAAAATAAAATAACGGGCGTGTCCTTCTTGAACTGGGAGCTGCTGGCCAGCACTGTCATGACTTAAACCAGTAGGCCTGCCGGAAGGAAGTTCTTTTTCCACCGTCATTTTAGACCTCATTGGATTTACTGTGGAGGGCTTAATATAACATTTTCTAGGTCTTCCTCCAACCTGCTCCCCACAAGATCAAGGCTCTGGAGGGCCTTTGAAGAACCCCATCCCTTGGTGGACCTAGCTACCATCTTGCTGCCACTGTTGATTGCTGCTGTTGCTCCTCCCACTCGTTCCCATCACTGCCACGGCTTGCTTGCTTGGACAGGCAGCCATGGAGCAGACAGGCAAGTAATCTCCTGACCACCACCACTGTTGTTTGGGCCAGAGAGAGAGGCAGGTGAAGAAGCAGGATGCCCTGAGAAGAGGGAGAGCATCTGCGAGGCTGCTGGCAAGCCCCCCTTGGGGTGTTGGTCCATGCCTACCTTGCTTAATTTTGGCACTGGGGGAAGATGTACAGCAGCACCTTGTGGGGGGCTGGAAAATGCTACCTGGATGCTGCCATGTCCTGGGGTGCCCCATGTTTGGCGTGACACCAGAGCTTTCCTGGTGTTGATTATGGCTTTAGAGAAGCCACAATTCTCCAGTTTCTCTTCAGAGCACTTTCTGAGGACTTTCTGGTTTATTTTTAGAACTGAGAATAGGAGCAACCAAATTCTAGAAGGGGGAATGGGCTCTGCAGTAGCACCACAGCTGCGCCTAGAGGTTGTCTAGCAGACAAATCAGGAAAGGAAGAGGGTTTTTGTGGAGAATTTGCATCTCACTGCAGCAATGAAACTGGCAGTAAAATTTTGAATGTGTCTTCGACCCAAGTGAGACGTTAGTGACAGCGGCAATAGACTTTGACAACATTTGCCATAGCTCTCTTTAAAACCTCAAACTAACCAAATGGAAGTTTCAATCTTTTTATTCAAAGCAGCTTCTCACAATATATAAATACTGCATATTAACACACATGAAAAATACAACTTCTAAGGCACCCAGAAAAATGTGTTCATACACTAGTTTACAAGACCATTGACAAATATATTGTGTACAATCTAGACAGTCAATTTTTGATATAGTAGAAGGTTAAGGTCCCTCAGTACCAAAGTCGTTTCTGAAGTTCTATTTACAACACTGTGGTTAAGAGGTGCCCCGTACCCTCCTCGGCGTTACACTGTGCACTTGCAATGATCACACATATTGGAAACTGATACCATCTTATTCTATGACATCCAGACAACAAAATACTTTATGAACCTAATCTGGGAAAAAGTCTATATTTTGGGCCACAATTCCATGCATGTTTAGGTAGAAAAACAGCCTACAGTTCCCAGCATCTCAGCCAGCCAGAATGACTGGGGGATGTGTACGCCTTTTGGGGGGGTCTAAACCTGCATAAGATTGTCCCCTTAATTGCTTTGTGCAAGGTAGTATTAGAAATCAAATAAGTAGTCACAGATACATTTTGCAATTTTGTCGACTCTTTGCTTTTTCTTTTTGGTCATCTGCTTTGTCTCTCGGGTTTGGTAATAAGCCTTGCCAATAGACACTCTGTCCTTTACTAGTATCCTTAGTTTTAGAACTTTTTTCCTTTTTCTTTTTAAATAGCAGATGGGCCTCCCTGGCTGCTCTGCTCTTTTCTATCTCCCTGAAATGAATGAGAAATGATACGAAAATGCATGTTGCAACGGAATCAACAGCCAATCTTTGCTATACAGATGAAACTAATGCTTGGTAATGAAAATGGAACTCTTTGGTCCGTAGTTTATTTTCTAATGGAAGAGAAAATATATATCACTGAAAGCAAAAGTCCTGTGGACAATGTCAGTGAGTTAGTAAATGACTTTCCATGTAGTATTTAAAGCGATCTAGTATGGCTTAAAGCGTACAGTTAATTGGGTAGGCAGAGATAAATAACATATCCAGGTTACAAAGTACTTAAACGTACTACGCTTAAGATTGTCTACAAGTCCCGTATGTAAACTTCCTTAGTGTCTCCTAAAGAGAGGAGGCGTTACCCCGATTGGGCTTGTCTTACCCACCTGAAGTAGAGCCTGAGAAGACTAAGAGAACTGGGTTGACAACATGCACAGTTTGTGTAGAACAAAGCCAAAACAGACGAGACCGTTGTTCGAAACAAACAACCCGTATTATCCACTTCACAATTCGTGGGGAGGGGGGGAATTAAGGCCTTGCACTCTTCATTTGCCAGCTGCCCGAACGCAGCTTTTTTGGCAGTGGGGAGGGGGTAGATTGCTGAAGGTCTAGGAAGATGCGATGGCAACACCGCCCATTTCTTCCAGTGCACACTGTGTTGTACGCTTGGGTGTTTCCGCCCCCTGAACTTCCTCTCTCCTGGCTCTGCTATCCAGTTCCTGGAGGAGAGGGTTTTGGTGGGGAAAAGCCTATGTGAGGAAAGGGTTTGGCTGGGTTGCCCCAGCACCAATGTATTTGCCCAGCAGCGACCGTGTTCTGAACATGTTCTGCTTCCGTCCCTTCTGTTTGGACCCCCATCTTAATCATCCAGTTAGCAATTTTTGATTCAAACTAGTGGTAAGGCTTATTCACAAATGCAGTAAATTTACAGATTTATATCTTAAATTCACTAATTTTGAGGCTGGAACAAAACAAACAAACAGAGAAAGGGGGAAAAACCTCCTGCCCAAATATAGTTATAAAAGAGTGTAAATGGAAAACAATTGGCACTAGAGATTAAAAGAATAGTTAACCATAGTTGAAAAAGATTGCCTAAAACGCTTACCCTAATCTACCATGGAAATATAAAAGTTTATATTTTTGAAAATATATACTGTATTAAAGTCTGAAAGCTTATTCTTTGAAACAGAAGAGACCCAACCAAACCACAGTTTATGTACAGAAAAAATATACATGCAAGACAAACACACAAAAATGAATTGCTTACTTTTCCATATCTACAAATGCAAAAACTGTAGATCTTTAAAGATTTGTACAAAAACCTTTACATGAAATAATACAATATACTTAACAACCATTTTTCATTTATTTGTATTAAATACTGTGAATATTAATAAAGTATTCCATCTAGTATATATAGTACACCTATAAACCCAGTGACTATAGAAAACTAAAAGTGGATGAAGAAGCTTTTTAAAAATCATCACTGGTCATTTTAAAAAAAGACTCCACTGAAATCAGATTAATCATTATGATATGAGTCTTTTAAAAAAAGTTTAAAATCTTTAGAGTTCATTTATTAAATATGAATAAATTGTATTCAGTGTGTTTTGATTTTTCACTAGCCAAGAAAATGCAAAAACAACGATACTTTGAAAATGCTGTTGAAGGAACTATTAATGTTGACAGTCAGGTGAGTGACGACAATTCTTCATTCTTAAGACCACAATTTCATACTCCAAAAATTATATCTAAAATGTCTTCCCACTGGTGCATTAACAGATCTGACACACCATTTGGGGTTATACCACTGACTTAATAAAAAAGGATGTTTTGCCACATATTTTGATTCATATTGCCCATTTGCTTAGTCATATACAGCAAATACTTTCCTACAAATTTATGTCCAAGAGTATGACTTCAGTTCCACACATTGATTCATAAGATGTTAGCTGGACCACAGTAGCAAATACTATTTTAGTTTTTGAGATAATTCACCATCCTTGGCTGAGAATAGCAAACCATTCAGTCATTCCATTTTGACTGAAGAACTCAGGATCCGTTCTCAATGCACGTGGAATCATTTCCAATGCATATTCTAGAGGCCTTGAATATTGCTTTTCAAAAATATTTTAGACAGATCTGGGCTAGAAGCTAGGCTGTGCATTGACCTCAGAAGGTGAGGCTCTGCCAAAGATAGAGCAAAACAAAACAGACAAAGTAAAACTGTAGAATCCAATTGTGTCATTTGGAAGCAATGGAATTCAAGTGGAAAGCGATTTCGGCTTAATATTCAAAGGACAACAAAATGCAAAGAGGAAGAAAAGAACACGAGCATGAATGAGAAGTCGACGTGGGCGGAGTCTGACTATGTTCTTGATACTGATTGGGTGGCAGCTCTTCAAGGATGCAGGCAGGAACTCTTCCAGCCCTACCTGGAGATGGGACCTGCAAGCGAAGCAGAGACCCCGCCACTGAGCCAGGGCCCCATTTATGCCTTTCCAGAGAATTCAGTGACTTTTTAAAAGACAGCGTTAATCCCTGTCCCCAGTACCCATTTGTAAGGAACACGTTCCTTTTGCAGTTTTAACAGAAACCTGCTTATCAAACCTGCGAACAAGGCCTCAGATGAAGCACACCTTGTTTTGGCTCACCAGCTTCCTTGTTTAATTTTAAGAACATATTCCTTTTAATTCTCTGTGGAGAAATAATAAGAAAAAATCAATTCCTTGCTTCCAAGAAATATTGGTTAGGGATGACCTTCTACGAGCAAATGGCCACAGACTGTTCTGAGGAAAATCAATGTTTTTGTGCCGCTCCAGGGTGGAAGGGTCAGTCACTGAGGGCTGGAAAGAGAAGTAAAATATGAAAACCTCTGACCACCTACTCCACGGTCTACTACCTTCCTGCTGGATTCTTGCTCACTGAAAAATACAAGCTCACTGAAAAATAATAAACCTCCACTGAGGAAAGGCTCGGCTAAAATGAGAAGCTCATGAGGGTTAAGATCCATGCTCCACAGCACATGGAATGCTAAACCTTCACGGGTACCACAATTTAGGCAGTGTTCACCCTGTTGTTAATGCCCAGCCATTAAGAAAAATATCAAATATATTCGCTTAAAACTCAGCATACCTACCCTCACTGGACGACCTGTGCCCCACATTTTCCTTAAGGGATATTAAACAATGCCATCTAGGAACTGCACATTTCGGTACAATCTCCTGTATGAAGAAACAGGGATAAGGTGGCTGTTTTGTAATGCCCCACGACTTTCCAATGCAATGTCTTTTTTTCTTGTCCACACAGCTCAGTCTGTTTAAAGGAAGTCAAAGACTGGTACAGTTGTGCAAATATATCTCATCCTGGGTAATAATCAAATAAAATAACGATAACAACAACAACATAATAATAATTTAAGGAGACCAACTGTTAAATTGTCTAGGTATACATGTGTATGTGTGTGCATATATACATATATACACACATATATACATTTATATGTATAGCATGTGAGTATACACATGCACACACACACACCCCACACGCACCACATACAGACATGCACAAATAAATTAAATAAATTAACCAACAGCCAACAACAATTCTAAATAAGGACTTATTGTTGCAAAATTATTTTTAATACATTATACATATAAATATAATTCCACCTCCAGAATTAGTTCCACGGTTTACGTTTCAACAAACAAAAGTATTGAAATATCTGTCAAGCAGGCCTAAGCAGGGGGCCTTTTTGGCCTGAAGTTTAAATTGCACTGCTTGGGCCACTGCAGAGGCAAGTTGCTTATGATAATTCGGGGAAAAAGGGTAAGTCAAAGATATCTGCGGTGCGCCTTGAGGGCGACACTAGTGCTTTCCACCATGTGGAATGTATGCCTCTCTCCAGCCACACGTGCCCAGTTGCTGCTTTCTCAGCACAGCTGCAGCAAGGTGCAACCTTCAGCATTTGCGTGCACCTGCCTCTCCCGTTGTCCAACAGGTACTCGTCTTGCTAGGAACATCTGCTGAAACATCTGTATTTAACTCACAAGGAAACTGACACAACCATAGATATGTAAGATACACTGCCACATATTCCTCTGAGGGATTTATTGGATCTCGGTTTTACTTTTACTCGATTTTTCAAACCCTGGTGACATCTGAAAATCGCGTGGAACATTTTTCCCACTTGCTGCCAAGTCGCAGAATGATGTCAGACTTCATAAATTTTGTCTTGCAGATAGCTGAATAATGAATCCAGTCCTTTGGAAGAACTCCAGAGCTGTTTCAACATCTGACATTCTTTCTCATTTACATCTTCAAGGCCAGATTTCAGGAAACTCCGAACTAGGCATTTAGATTCTTCCAGCACCTAAGAAAAGAATTTACAACTCTGTTTCACTATTTGAACCTGGTGATAGCTCTGTGGCTGATCTGCTCCCGAAAGCAGCAGACTCCGCGGAGCTGGCTGACTGCAGCTCAGAGCCTTGTCCAAGAGACCTGTAGCTTAATTTCCAAAGCTGTGCTCTATGGCAAAGCGATCTGTTCATTTCTGGTATCTGCTTGGCCGAGAGGAAGTGGGGAAAGGTCATGACAATTGTGCCATCTTCTCCCACTGGAAACGGGAGGAAACATCTAGAGGAAATGGGGACCATAGTCCTGTTCAGCTAAAATGCTAAGTAGTGCCACTCACCACACAAACAGGAATGGGGCTGCGCCAGGCAGCCTGACTCCGATGTCCTGTCGTAGCACAGCCGCACCCACAGGCTGCCACACATGCAGTGTGGATGCCTGCAGTGGGGAGCTCTTTGCAAGAGCTTGTACACATGTTGGTGGTTGTATGTGAATAGGACTGCACGTGATTGTGAGCCCCAGCCTTCTGGGGGTCTACATCCCACGGAAATCCACTCAGCACATCCCCTCTTCTGGCCTGCATAAGTTTAACCACTTGGCGTTAACACCTGAATAGGCCTTCTCTTGACTGATCCATTTATCCGCTCATACAATCTACTCCTAGTGATGAAGATTGCTTTCATAAAAGAAACAATTTATGTTTTGAATGTTATGTTAACATAAATGCTAAGAAGCCAGAAGCCATGAAATCCATGCTTATATTTTGCTTTTGCCCATGAGTAGCGCTCTCTCTCTCTCTCTCTAATTATCTAAAGCATTTCTCTTCCCAAGGCACTTGAGATTACTTCCAAGTCCATGAACGACTTGGGGACAACAGATTGACTGAGGGAATTTCCCAGTTTCCTTGAAAAAAAGGGGAAAAAATGGGAAAAAATCCCATTCAAACCCAGGAACTTGGAAAACAGTTTCCCGTTTAACATTCTTATTGGTTTTATAATTTGAAATGTCTTGTATAAATTATTTTATTTTGCAAAGTTCTTTTAACCATTGAAAGTCACTTTGGATTATTACTGAAGCAGAAACTAATTTACCAAAGAAAACTGGGGGAGAAGGAAGAAATCTTCACTTCACTTGTTAATGTCCCCCTAATCTCTCGCTCTCCTTTTCAGGGTTCTGTGGCCCACGCGGCTACATTGCAGCATCAGATCTTGGCCAAATAGGAACGAGGACTTGGTAGTTAACAAGGGAAAATGAAAATGCAGGGTCGGGCCCGGCCCTGCACATATGAGAGGTGCAGGGACGGTTGCACTTGCGTGGGCATCCACAAGCAGGTGCCCAGCGTGGGGCGGCCCCGGGCACCTGCAGCAGGGCCACTGTTTTCCAAGGTGTGTGGGGCACTGGGCCAGGTGGCTTTTGAGAGTCATTGCATGTTCATCTTGTTTACATGATCAGCTGCCCCGGGGACTTCTCTTTTTGGGGGAACACCTGCGTGGGCCTTGGGACCACCCTTAAGGCCCACTCACCCTGGCCTTAGTCTGCATCTCAGGGAAGGTGCTTGAACAGCGGAAGCAGCTGGTGCACAGGACTCACAGGTGGTTAGCTTGGCCTTCAAGAATCCTCATCTTCTGTTCATTTCTCCCAATTAACACCCAGAATAAGAGCCTCACTAAATTGGACTGACTCACACAATTTAATTTTACAAAAAAGTGCCCTTCATCCTTGGGAATATTTTGCAGGTGTATAAAATCACACTATGATAAGCAGCATTTGTTGTTCACATAAAGGAAAGTTTAAGCCAGCCATATTCTTTCGGCTATGACTGACTAGAGTTGGAAACCAGACGATGGATTCAGGGTGCAAACTTAGGTGTGTATGGGGAGAAATAAGACCTACAAATCCCAGCATTCCTCAGTCAGCCAGCCATGGGACCTTTCGCTGCTTATTTATGAACAGGATCGTGCCCTAAATTGACCTTTGTTTGGACCCAGCAGTGAGCATGCGTCTACCAGGTAACATGGCACGCACTCATCCCCTGGAGCTGAGAATAATTAGCAGAAGCAGTGCCTTGCGTAAGATAGTTTCTTGCAAATGCTGGTGATCTTTAAATTGGGGAGCATCTGAAGCCACCGTTTATCGAACACCCTGCATCTCTTACCACTGCACTGCAGGATGCCATTTCCTTTACTCTCAGCATTACTTCTTGCCCAAACGTTGTCGGCCAAAAGACTTGGGAGACGAGTCCTCGGCTGCAGGCTTCCTGTGCAGTCAGCTTCCTTCCGCAAAACAGCATCTCATTTGCCTGCAACAACCAAACCTATTTGAGTGGCGTGGCCAGGTATGCCGCGTGACCAGCATGGTCCAAGGTGCCACGGTTCTGCAGAAACATCCATATGCTAATTTGCGGGCTGATGTGCATGTTCAGAAATGCTGACCAAGTTTTTCTATTTCCAGCAGAAATAGAGTATGACGCTCTCACCACTGTGGGCGGGCCATGGCCAGGTCATGTGGGGGCCCACCTGCTTGGTCCAATCTGTAGGCACTAAATGCTGAGCGTCTTGCTCTCCTGGATCGGCACATACAGACTGGGTGTACAAGATTTAACATCCCGTCTTACTGTCCCGATGAGCACCTTCCAGACAGCTCCTCTCCCCGAAGATGTGAAAAATTACATTGCTAAAATCCAAATTCTAAAAGCAGCATAAGCACCACATGCTTCAGAATGCACAACTGTTCTGCACAGAAGATAAACGTTCAGCTCAGGAACGTTTCCGGCTGCAATCCTAGGCACACCTGCCCTGGAATGTAAGCTCCCCTTGCTTCTGAGTAGATATGCACAGAATGCTGCTTTCAAATGCTTAAAAGCAAGCACACAAGCGAAGAAAAACAAGTCTTACTTAAAACAGAGCAACAGAGGAGCCCGTGAAGCTTTTTAGTGGATGCTCTTGTGGACCGTCTGTTCACATGTGCCCCTGCCTAGGGCAGTACAATTCCTCACTGACTGGAATGCATGCACTAAGCCATTTTAAATCTTGAGACGCAGTGCAAAGCATTCCATAATTTCCAGTGGGGAATTACATATGCTTCAGTCATCAGGTCTTGCCTCGAACACAGGTCTGGGGATTAAAACTGGCCATGCCTAGGAAAGGGGAACTAAATGCATCACTATTGATGGGGGACACTTGGCTCAACGATACTTCAAGTGAGAAGTATCTTGGAATTATTGTAAATCACAAGCTGAACATGAGCAAACAGTGTGATGTGGCTGCAAAAAGGGCAAATGTTGTCTGAGGCTGCGTTAATAGAAGTATAACTTCCAAATCACATGAAATACCAGTTCCCCTTTACTCAGCACTGGCTGGGCTTCATCTGGAGTACTCTGACCAGTTCTGGGTGCCACAATTCAAGAAAGATGCAGACAAACTGGAAAGGATTCAGAGGGCAACTAGAATGATCCAGGGACTGGAAACAAAGCCCTATGCAGACAGATTGAAAGAACTGGGCATGTTTAGCTTGGGGAAGAGAAGACTGATATGATAGCACTTGTCAACTCTTGAAAGGCTGCCACACAGAAGAGGGGCAGGCGTTCTTCTCTATCATCCCAGAGTGTAGGATGCAGAGTAATGGGCTCAAGTTGCAAGAAGCCAGATTCTGGCTGGGCATCAGGAAGATCTTGCTTACTGTTAGAGCGGTACGACAGTGGAACCTCTTCCCTAGGGTGGAAGTGGCTCCTCCATGCTGGAGGCATTCCAGATGTAGTTGGAAAGCCATCTGCCAGGGATGCACTGAGCAGGGGACTGGAACTTTTTTGGATCCTTCCCACTTGACTATTCTATGCTAGCAGCTGTTTCAGTGCTTTCCAACAGAGTTGGGGAAACACTCATATCACACCTCTCTTAAAGGAACTAGCAGCCAATATGTTTCTGGTCCGAGTTCAGGGTGTTACATGATGTTTAAACTCCTAAACAGCTTGGGACCTCAATATTTGAAGGTTCCCCCTGAATACTGTTCACCTTTTGGAGTGACTGTCAAAAGGCTTTCTCTTTCTTCATCCCTTTGGCTGCTGTCCAATATAAGATGAGAAAGAGAGCCTTCTTAGCTGTGGCACCTGGTCTTGCAACCCACCTCCTTGGAAGCCTGGCACTGGCATCATTTTTCTGCCAAGTTAAAACCTTCCTATCGACTCAAACTTTGAGTCTTTGATTGACTTTCTTGGGTTATTAATGCTGGTTTTTATTACTGTAATTTTAAACTGGTTTTTTATGGCTGTGTCCCATCCTGAGATCAATTGATGTAGGTTGGGTTAACCATATTTTAATCAATATTGGGTGGCACGTACCTCAGCCATAGGGGATCAATTTGTGCATATGCAAGGGATTTATACCAGAAATGTATTGAACCCAGAGGAAAAAAATAACACATGCTCTTGCCAAAAAACAAAACAAAATAAAAGTGAAAAAGAACAAGGGATGTGCAAACAGAAGACAATGTTTGGATTTTGGTTCGCTTCTCTTGTGCCACGCTCTTCCGCTCAGTTGGAAAGCAGAAGAGCACCTTTGCATCCAAGACGCTTTTGCGCACCCCAAGATCCAAGCCACCCCAAAGAAAAACCATACAAGAGGCACTCTTACCAGAGCAACACCCAATATCTGTGGGAATGTGTATGATGAACAGCCAGCGGGCGTGAGCCGAATTGTTGCATAAGGCGTCTGGAACCAGGCCTTTTCACTTGCCCACACAATATCACAGAGGGGCAAGATCGAGGCCCCCAAGCCCAGAGCAGGCCCATTGATTGCAACCACAATGGGCTTCTTAAACTGAATGAATGCTTTTACAAAATCCCTAGAAGGAAAAGAAGCAGAAGGACTCTTATAAATCACATTCTATAATGTCAGCACCTTACTGGAAGATGATGATGATATCATTGCACTGTGTTTCTATCCCACCATTTTTCTCTTGTGAGGAGCTCATGGCAGCTTCCAGAGCTCCACTTTATCCTCACAGCAAGAACCCTGTGAGGTAGGTTGCGCTGTGGGAGAGCAAATGGCCTGAAGTCACTGGTTTGTTGGCTGATTAGAACCTGGATCTCCCAGGTCCCCAGTCCAGCCCTCTCAGCACATGCTCTCTCTTAATGGAAGACTTTTGCCTTACTGGGTGACCCCAGAGTCCCACTCCCCCAGGACTGATTGCAACAGGGGGCAAGCCAGCTGCTGAGAGCCACTTGTGTCAGCTTGTCCCTAGTACAGAGTAACACGGAAGCTCAGTTCCCAACTATGGTGTCTCCAGCACAGCTTGGGTTCAGGGTCCAGGATTAGGTATTATTTTTTTGGATAACTATTTAACTGAGCATAAGGAACACGTGCACCTGACTTCTTGGTGGTTCAGTTTTAATGGGAACTTAAAGCTGTTCACACACTGTTTCCTTCCTGCAGGGTGTTTCTGCTTTTAAAAAAGCATAATCCACATTTATTCACTGCATTCATTCTTTGCCTTGAACATCACACACCAAACCAATATTTTAAAAACAACTTCTAAATGATGAAAATGGGAGATGGGTTTCCCACATTACCAGCTCCTGGGCCTTTCCAAAACCTTCACAACTTCCCAAATCATCCCCAACTGGAGTTGTGGGAACTTTCGGCAAACAGAACCTCAAGGTAGAGCAGAAGCTGTGCTATACTGAGTTCAGACAACATAAGCCCCACTCAAGGACTGGGGTGGGTGAGGAAGCTTCTTTTGGGGGTGAGCATCTATTGGATTCCCTGGGCTTGGCTCCCCAGACCCCCGTCTGCTTCGACACGGCTGTGGGTCTGAGTTCCTGACCAGGGACTCCAGCACTTGCCAGCTATCACCAGGAATGGACCCTCCTCCACCCTGGGTGCAGCAGCCTTTGCTTGCACTGCTGCACATGACATGGAAGAAGGCTGTCGGACGCACAACCTTCCTTGCCTGCACATTCACAGATGCCCTCTTGGTGCCAGGAGGTGTCTCGTGGTGCCAGGCACACGAGAAGTCTGTGAGCCCTGGAGGGACAGATGCTGCGGAGCTGAGCTGTGGTTGAGCAGTGGTTCAACACAGGATGTCTTGTCTGAAGCCAGATGAGATGACAAAGCACAGGGAATAGAGACAGGTTTCCTTACCTGTAACTGTCGTTCTTCCAGTGGTCATCTGTGCATTCACACATATGGGCTCTTTGCACATGCGTGGAGTGGTTTTTCGGGGGAGATTCTAATGCTGATTAATTAGTATTCGGCAGGAGGCTGGCCCCCAACGCAGGCAGCATGAGGGCGGGGCTCTGGCCGAGACCAAAGTTTAAGCTGAGACCACCATCGTCACTGTGTCACCGATGCAGAACAACCCATGTGTCCAAAGAGAGACACCAGAGGGGATGGCGGGTGGGTATGTGTGAATGCACAGATGACCACTCGAAGAACAACAGCTACAGGTAAGGAAACCTGTGTCTGTTCTTCATGGTCTCTGTGCATCACATGCATGGGCGCCTGGCGAGCTTTCCTCAAGGAGAAGGGTGGTGTTGCTCAGTGCACCAAAGAGGAGAGGACAGATCTGCTGAAGACGCAGTCCTCTCTTGATCTGACACCAAGGTGGTTGTGTTGAACGAAGGTTGATGGATTCGACCATGTGGCTGCCTTACAGAGGTCAGTCAGGGGCACTCCAGCGTCGTGTGCGGTGGAGGTGGACACAGCTCTAGCTGAGTAAGCTTTGACAGGCCCAGAAAGCTGAAGGCCAGAAAGGTCATAGGCCAGACAAATGGTATGGACAATCCACCTAGAGAGCCTCTGAGGAGATCGGGTGTCCTCTGCATGGCTCACCGTAAAGGATGAACAGCCTTTGAGTTTGTCTGAGAGGCTGGGTCTTGATTTATAAAAGGCAAGACTCCTGACATTGAGGGAATGTAACACAGTCTCTATAGGAGTAGGCAGATTCTGGAAGAACGAGGGCAGGATTACTGGCTCGTTCATGTGAAAGTACGACACTACTTCACTACTAGGCAGGAAGGTAGGATCAGGCTGGAGGATGACCTTGCCTTCATGAAAGACTGCATATGGAGCGCCAGTCTGGAGGGCTGCCAGTTCAGCTGCTTAAGTAATGGCCACAAGCAAAGCTGTTTTTCATGACAGGAGGTGGCGATCGCATGAATGCATAGGCTCAAATGGAGACTTGGGAAGTGTGTGAAGGACGACAGACAGGCTCCATGATGGAGGAGGAGTTAAATTCAGAATCCCCTTGAGAAACTTGCAGATCAGGGGATGAGAGAAAGCTGTACGTCCTTGGATTGGGTCGTGAAAAGCCGAGATGGCAGCCATGTAGACCTTAATCAATGAATAGCAGAGACCTCTTTTGTATAGGGAGTTTAAAAATGAAAGAATTTGAACTGGAGAGGCTGCAGCTGGAGAATAATTATGCTGCTCTGCAAAGGCCTCAAAAGTTGGCCATTTTGCATGTATGACTTGTGAGTGGGCAGTTTAAGTGATGTGTCCAGCACAAACTTGAGGTCAGGAGGAACTAGGTCTGACAAATCCTCCATGCTATGAGACGAAGCGTCAATAGGTTGGGATAGAGAGTTCTGCCATGATCTTGGGAGAGAAGGTCATTCCTGTTGGGTAGATGGCAGAACATTTGTTTGGACAGGTCGATCAGGAGAGGGAACCTGGCCCACCAAGGAACGATAAGCATTGCGTTTGTACAATCTCAAGGAATCTTTGCTAAGACCCTTGGAGTTAGCAGAAAGGGGAGAAATAGATAAAACAGTTTCCCATTCCAAGATAGGAGAAAGGCATCTCCTAGAGAGTGTTTGCCGAGACGGGACCTTGAGCAGAGCTGGGCACGGACCTTGCTGTGTTCGGTAGTGAACAAGTCTACCTGGGGCATGCCCCCACAGTCCCAGAGGGTTTGCAGGACTGCAGGATGGAGTTCCCACTTGTGGCATGTGGTGAAAACCCTGCTCAAGAAGTCTGCTAGAACATTGGTCGTGCCGGCCACATGCAGGGCAGTTAGTGGGGCTCTCTTGGTTATGCAGCAGTGCCAAATGGTCATGGCAAGATGTGCCACACTGCTTGACCTGGTTCTGCCCTGCTTGTTTATGTATGCCACAACAGTACTATTGTCTGTAAGAACTCTGATGTGGCGATCTTGGATACAATTCTGGAAGGTGACCGAAGCCTTCTTGATTGCCAGGAGCTTGAGGAAGTTGATATGGTGGCAGCTTTCTCAGGGACTCCACCTGGACTGGATGGTGGCCTGTCCACAATGGGCACCCCAACCAAGGAGGGAGGCGTCTGTCACAATAGGCACTTGCGGGTCCCGAGGGGAGAAGGGGACTCCAATAGCCGTACTGGCTGTTTTTGTCCACCAATGTAGTCATTTCCGGATCTGTGGAGGAAGACAGAGTCTGCTATGACGTGGCTGTATCACTGGATTGAAGGACACCAGGAACCAGAGCTGGAGAGGCCTCATGAAGAGATGTGCCAGAGGAACAACTTCGATTGCGGCCAACAAGAGTCCTAGAATGTGCTGGATCAATTTGGCAGTTGGCAAGGAGGTGTTGATCAGGGATCTGACCTCTCTGGACATGGTACGGAGTCTGTCCTGAGAGAGGAATGCTTTTGCCAGTATGGACTCGAGTCTGGCTCCAATGAAGTCGATTGACTGAGAAGGAGAAAGGTGAGATTTAGTTGTATTAAAGTCCCAAACTGGAAAGGAGGGAACAAATTAGCTGAGTCGCCTTGATGGAAGCTTCATGTGAGTGAGCTACAATAAGCCAGACATCGAGGTAAGGATATACATAAACACCATGGAGGCGGAGCAGACCACCGACATGCATTTGGTAAATACCCTGGGTGCTGCTGCTAGCCCAAAGGGAAGAATGGTAAATTGGAAATGTTTATCATCTATCTGGAATCGGAGGAAACGTCTATAGGATTCCTCAATCGTAATATGAAAATAGGCATCCTTTAAATCAATGGATATGAACCATGCACCTTCAGAGAGTAGGGGAGGAATGGCCTGAACAGAGGTCCATGATAGGACGAAGGCCTCCGTCCTTCTTTGGAACCATGCAGTACCTAGAACAGAATCCAGGATTTTTTGATGGTGCAGGTTCAATGGCTCCTTTATGAAACAGGGAGGAAATTTCCTGTAGCAGAGGTGGTGATGGAGCTGTTCGTTTCTGTACTGTAAAACAAGGGAGTGTATGGAACTTGATACAGGGCAATGATGGAAAGCAGCCATGAGTCTGAGGGGATGGCAGCCCAAGTGTGGAGAAAGGGCTGGAGAAGGTGGTTAAACATAGGAGAGTCAATGCAAGACGTCTGAAAGAGCCACATATGCCTTCCGGGAGCCTTCAGGAAGATCGAGCCCATGAGAGGGGATCTAGGCTGAGTGGCCATACACTCCCTAGTAGTAGTGGTGGCAAGGGACCTAGGCTGGGAGGAAGATCTATGCCACTTATATGAGGCATGTTGCCTTTGGGCATTGGTTGACTGAGCCCCAAGTGGCGTGCAGTGTTTCTGGCCTCTGGACCGAGTGCATTCGGTCATCAGTGGTCTTGTGGAACAAGCCAGCACCATGGAATGGCATGTCTTCTAGTCGTGCTCTGGCCCCCCCGACAGGCCGGAGGATCGAAGCCATGTGAAGCGGCGGAGACCTATTGCTCCTGCCATATTGCGAGCGCCACCCTCAGCCTGGTGTCTTGTATGGCTCGGTGAGTAGCCTCATTTTTAATCTCGTTCGCCAGGTCTTGGGCGTCTTTAGGTAGCAAGGAACATAGGGACGCCATTCTATCCCAAAGCATGAGGTGATATCTGGCCATGGTAGCTTGATAGTTGGCCATTTTTCTGGACAGGGCTGACGAGGAGTAGAAGTGGCAGCCAATAGCATCCAGGCGCCTGCCTTTCTTGTCAGATGGACTGCAATGCTCCCTTCTGGAGCGTGACTGGGCAGGCTCTACAATGACAAAGTTTGTCCGGAGGTGTTGAAACAGGAATTCAGTGTCTTTTTCTTGGACGCGATACATATTTTCGAGGTGGTGCGTCAGTGGGCCACGGATGCTGGGGATCTCCATTCGTGTTGGATCACATCCAGCACAGTTGGGAGCAGCGGAACGGTAACAGGTCTGGCGGACTCCACATAAGCAGCCTCGAAGACTGGGTCTTTGGTTCTCGAGGGTTCTTGCCTAGGATTAAGTCCTAGACTATGAGCCATTTGGAGAACCTGGGATGCAAAGAATCCAGTGTCCTCAGGTGGTTGAGATAGAGCCAAAAAAGTTCTCACAAGACCTGGTGGGACATCGGATTGCCGGTCCAGAAAAGATGCCATCGAGACCGAGTCCTCGGTCATTTGGCTGGAGAAATACACTTGGTACCGAGGCTCGGCTCTGTACCGGAGGGTGAGCTGATCGAGGAGGCGGAACTGGTGACTCCCAAATCTCTCCTTCGGACACCAAAGTGCTCCTTGGGGGTTGAAACGGTTGTAGGGATTGTCCTGGGTTCTCCTGGCTTTGGGGTGCCGCCGCATCTCCAGTACATGGGAGTTGTAGTACTGGTGGCAAGGGACCACTGTCTAGCCCAAAGGGAAGAACGGTAGGCTGCTAGGTACTGACAACTCAGAGCACAAATGGGCGCTTTTTGTGCTTCCCTTCTCTTTAATAAAGGGTAAGCGACTTTGGAGGCGATGCTTTCTTTTCTGCCTTCTTTTGTTTTGCCACCTTGGGCATTTTTGCCAGTGGGGGAGGTGGCGAGTCATCTGAGTTTTGAGCCAAAGCTGGAGAAGTGGACAGCTGAGGGTCTTCGGTGTCTAAGGTGTGGCTCCAAAGTTCCCCTTTTCAATGGTCAGCCCGGTGTTTCCTTGCCTGCTTTGTAAAAGCTTGGCCGTGATAACAAGACTCGATGACGTGAGACTCTCCCAGGCAAAACAAACAAAGGGAGTGGCCGTTGTTTGGTGGGAGCTTGTTCCCGCACGTGGTACTGTCGTGGAAAGCAGCCTTCAGTGCCATTGCCTGGCCAGCAAGGCATGATGAAACCTTCAGCGGTAACCACTGTAGGATATGAATAACCTTTTCTTTCTTTTTTTGGGCTTTGAGCAATAGAGAGAAGATAAGAGAGAAAAACCTGACAAGCGTATAGCTCACATATAGCCTTTACGTATAGCTCATGAGGTAAGTTGGAGAAGAACTTCCCAACGCGCTCATGATGGCGGTTGAAGAAGAACTGAGGCCTTGGCCGGAGTCACGCCTTCATGCTGGCTGCATTGGGAACTGGACTCTTGCCAAATACTAATTAATCAGCTTTAGAATCTTCCTGAAAAACCGCTCCACGCATGTGCGAAGAGCCCATATGTGTGATACACAGAAACCACGAAGAATAACCATAGTTTACAACCCAACAAGAAACTATGGGTTCTCTTCATGCGTTGTGTATGGTTCCCAACCCACATTTCAGCAACAGCCCATGACGCAACAACCAAAGCTTAACCCCCACACATGTGGGTTCCCATGCTGTCTGTGTCCACCGATCCATCTGGTTCAGAACTGACAGCAGGGCCTGGCAACGGCACTCCAGGATTTCAGGGAGACGCTTTCGCCAGTTCTAGCTGTAGCTAGAGGATTGAAGCTGGGACCTTTTGCATGCGAATGGTGAACTCTTGCCAGGGAGGAGGTTGTCTAATTTTTGCTTTGTTTGGTGGAGATCTAGTCCCACTGAGCAGACAGAAGGGAGTTTAAAGCATTTTAGGTGAGCCCATTCCAGATCCTTTACAGTGCAAGCCTATGGGCATCTCCTTAGACACACTGACTTACTCCTAGACGGGTACGTGTAGGATTGCAGACTATACCCCTTAATCATTTGTGGGCATTTATTTGCCAGTGAACTTATATGCAGACTGCTCCTTCCACACACAAGTCCAAGTTTCCATGATGAACTTTTATTCCCCTTTCTGACTTGCAAAGCCAGAAGTGCAGGGCAGTATAACTTGTAAATAAAGGGACTTTTATGGTTCAGTCCCAAGTTGGCTACAAATGCTGGGAGTAGCAGGACATCTTTATGAGCAGATGTGCAGGGGGTTGCACCCTTAACCATGCAAGGCCATTGCTGCTTGGTGCAATAAAGGCAAACAATAAACCAACAAGCATCTTAAGTTAAAAGAAAATCTTACTCGCCCTCCCCTCACATGTCCTAACCGAGTGGCTAAGGCAAGCCCGAGTCACCTTATAGCTTCAGCAATTCTAGTGCTTTCCTTTCTTCTATCGTTGGATAACCTGCCAATTAAATAGGAGTAATCTAGGCCGCTGCAGAAGACGCTTCCCACTGCGCTGAGGAGCAGGAGTTTACTGTCATCAGCAGATGCATTGCACAACGCTCGCCGGACCTCCTTCATGATCTGTGGAGAATCCAAAAGAATACTGTTCTTCCACACACGTACAGGCAATTGCCAGTCGAAAACAAATGACCCCAAAGATAACTCTTGTGGTTTCAGCAACTCCCATTTGACTGATATAATGTCTGTGTTCATGATCCTTAGGTCTCTGCATTCTTGAAGTTTTTCTCAAAGCTGCACACTATTTGAGGAATATATTCAGAATGTTCTTGTTAGATCAAATGTTCCCCAACTTCAAAACCAACAGCTACGGGCTTCAGAAAGAAGGACCAGAAAACATCAAGACTACATTAGCTTGTTTTGGGGCTTGCCAAGTCTTCACAATAGGTCACAGGAAGTAGTACCTCCCCGTCTTTCTTCCAGAAAAGTTTTTTGGCTTGGCCTTGGAGTGAAAGTGCTTCCAGCCACTGAGTTCCTAGAGCTACCCGTAAAAAGTCACTATGCTGCTCCAGCTTTCCTCAAGACCATTTTTCTGGCAAGAAAGAGATGGAAGAAACAGTTCCTGCAAATTTGAATGAGGCAGGGTTCTGTGAGTGATGCCTTTTTAAAACATGCGTGTGAGTAAACAGATTCCTATTTCCCAGGGCTCACCTTTCCTCCCACCAGGGTCCCTAGTAGGAAGTGGTTGTCTCATGTGTCTATTTTAGTACCACTGCTATTTATTTCATTTCTATACCTCCCAATAGCCAAAGCTCTCTGGGCTGTTTATAATAGCTCAAGCAAGCAGTATAATAAAACACCATAACATCTTTTTAGAAAGTCAGACATTTTAAAACAAACAAACAAAGCTAAAGCAACATGCTATGAAGAGCAGTCTATAAAAATACTTGGGATGGGTAACTCCTTCAAGTCGTTGAATACCCATATATATCTTGTAAAAGCCTCAGCATAAAGGGCCATCTCAACCTGATACTACCATGACAAGGCTGGCACCGGGTGGGCCTCAGAGGGAAGAGCATTACGTGGATGGGGCCACCAGAGAGAAAGTGCTCCCACTGCTGCTGCCCTCCAGGCTCCTTTGGAATTGGCTGCAGATGTTGAACCGTATAGATTGCTGTCTGGGAAGAGACACTCCATCAAGTCCCACTTGTATGGGTCCCATTTATTAAGCTGGTGGTTGTAAAGCTGCAGCTTCTAAACAGACTTCAAGAGCAGCCCACATAGAGTGCACCGCAGTAATCTAATTTAGAGATGACCAGGAAATAGGATATTGGAACCAGGCTATTCTTGTCTAGATAGGGGCACAACTGGGACACCAGCTGGAGCGGGCAGAAAGTGTATCACAGCTACAGGTGCCAAAGATGGTTCAAGGAGAACCTCCAAGCTTTGAACCAGCTCCTTCAAAGGGAGTGCCTCCCTGACCAGAACCAGTTGAGCACCCTACTTCGAGAGGGGAACCACCCACTAACAACATCTCAGCCTTGTCTGGATCGAGCTTCAGGTTTGTCAGCTCTCATCTAGTCCACTGCTGCAGCCAAGCACCAGTTTAGCACATTCACAGCCACACCTGCTCAAAATGACAAAGAGGAATGTAACTGTGTGTCCTCAGCACACTCCATGGCAAAGCACTCCAAAACTCTGGATGGCATCACTCAGCTCTTGAATAAGGATAGAACAAATCCCTGAGGAATTCCATGCTGGAGGATCCATGAGGTTGAACAATATTCTCCAAGCACCACCTTTTGGAGATGGCTTTCCAAGTAGGGGTGAAACCACTATAATAGTTCTCCCCACTCCCAACTCAGACAGTCACCCCAGAAGGATATCAAGGTCAATAGTACTGAAAGGCACTAAAAGATCCAGGAGTGTCAACAGGGTCACACTCCACTTGTCTCTCTCCTAGCATAGGTCATCATACAAGGCCACCCAAGATATTTCTGTGCCATAGCCTGGCATGAACTCCAGTTAAAATGGATCCATGTAGTCAGTCTCGGCCAAGAGTGTGCAGAGTTGGTTGGCAACCATGTTGTCAAGGACTTTACCCAGAAATTAAACATTTCTACCTTCTAAATGGATAAGGTCTTCTGGTTTGCAGAAAGATTTTTCAGGAATGGTCTCATGGACCACTCCCTCTCACAAGGAGGAGATGGTCCAGCTGGTTATTCCTTCCTTGTTGGCCTCTATAGGGCAGGAGGAACAAGGTTCTAGTGCAGATCTGGTTGCATAACACAGAGACACCAGGCAAATAATTTCCCGTTTTCTTCCCCCATACCTGCAGACCAGCTGAAATGCAATGACCAGGTTCTGAAGAATCGTTAATTAATTGATTGATTGATTGATTTATATCCTGCCTTTTTCCTACAAAGGGCTCAAGGCAGCTTACATCTCCTCCTCTATCTTATCCCCACAACAACCCTGTGAGGTAGATTGGGCTGAGAGTCTGTGACTGGCCCATAGTCACCCAGTTGGTTCCATGGCCGAGCGGGGACTAGAACCCAGATCGTCTGAGTCCCAGTCCCACGCTCTTAACCACTACACCACACTGGCTCTCGATTAATTAATTAATTGAGGAGAAAGGGTCATAAACGATTGTTCTGACAACCCAAAGCCTGTGCCTTCCAGAAGTCAACATCAAGCTTCCCATTTTAGGGAATGTAGGATGGACTGGGTAAGGGGGGCGTTATTGGTGGCCAGACTGAGGTTGACCTTGAAGAGGGGTGGGGACAATCAGTTCCAGCCCTGACAACCAGGCTCTTTCCTGACTGCCAAGCACCTCCTTCCGCTCCCTCCAGGCTACACCTTTTGCGTATGAACACAGGCAAGCTGGTCACAGCTGCAGTGTAGGCTGTCCCATGCCCAAGGTACAAGCTATCTCAGATGGCATACTTTTCTCTTAATTGTTCTCTTGGGCGGTTGTCTCTGCAGAATTATCTCAACTTGGAGAATGATGGGAAAAACCAACTATTCCAAAACGTATCATGTCTGAATATATTACCATTCAGGGTTAATTCAGGAAAAAAGTAATCACTGAATACAATAATTACCTGAAACAGCAACATGGCCCTTGTTCAAGTCTCAAAAAACCCGACTTTTGAATGGATTCCAAATATACTGCCTATAATTCTAATCTAATTTAAAATATTGTAGGCAATACTGATAAAGTTAGGAATGGAATGTCAAGGGAGATCTTTTATTGGCGGAGAAAGAGAAATTTTAAATACAAATCAAGACTGATTTTAACCCACTTTCAGGAAGTTTTCTCTTTGCTTTGATGTTCACCTGCATACCTCTGGAGTCAGTGCATTGTTATCTGAGGTCTGACTGGACAGGAGGATGTGTGTGAATCCATCTTCTTTCCGTACAACAATGTCTCTGAACCGACAGTTGCTCTCGTTTTGACGCACACTGTACCTGAGTCTCTTATCAAAGACGTAATCTTTTTCCCCTTCCAACTTCTTTTTCACAGTGCTATGAAGATTCAGGCTCCCATTTGCTAGAGAAGAACCTTTCAAAATGCAAAGAGCGAAAGAAAACACGCATCATTATCTGCAGAAAACCCAAAAGAGGCAAGCAGAAGTGCGTCTAGTGAGCACTGATGCGGAGCAGAGAAACAACCTTCTCAGTGCGCATGTCCAAATTATGGAATTCATTTATTTGGTCTCATGAGACTCATTTGGCAGCCTCTCCTCTGCTTTGTTCTGCCCAATGCTTTTAATTTATCTAATGCATGTACCTCTGTTTCATCTTAATATTATTTGAATGGAACATTATTTTATACTTGTTTTGGATTGTTTGAATCCACCTGAAATGGTGTGTAAACACTGGAAGGGTGGCATTATAAATTCCGCCCCAATTAACTTGAATTAGCACATTGTACTGAGGACTTTCTGTGTTCACTTAAGCTCAGAAATTTCAGGAGTATATGAAGGGGGCCATACGTTTAAAAGATACATGATCGGCAATATTTATTTATTTATTATATTTATATTCTGCAACCCCTATATGGTGTAGCAGTGGGGCGGGGGAGGAACCGTGGCCCTTCAAAGGTTTTCTGGATCTGAATTCATTGTTGGTCCTTAAATCTGAACAGAAATGAGCAATTTTGGCTCTGGACAGCCTGGTAAAATTCACATCAGACACAAATTTTGTACAGCTGGGGTATGGATATGGATATGCATTTCATAGCCTGGCTTCATATTTGCTTAAAGCTCTGGTGAACTACCATTAGCAAGGATAAATTTTGACACAATTCTATGCATATTTCAATAGCAAAAAGTCCTACGATTCAAAGAATGCCCAAGCAAGGCATACTTTCACCTCGGTCTCCTTGGAAGCATCGAAACCTAACCCTAACAATGGACAGCTAATCCTACCAGTCTCTACAAACATTATACTCCAGACATCATAGCCTCTATAGATACTATATTTCATACACAAAGGGTTAGATCCAGAGTAGACCTTTTGGAATCAATGGGAGCAGTCATTCAGTTCCACTGATTTCTTTAGTTCTGCTCCAAATGTGCCCAAATCTGGCTCAGTTTATTTACCACATACTGCATATTGCAACTACTGCCATGATTGTGCTTATTAAGAAGCTATTTTAAATACCTAATACTGTTATAAAAACTTTACAAATTATATTGCTTTATCTCAGTTTTCCAGCTAAGCACTTTAACTAGATGCAACAACTTTAAAGGAGTCCTACTGGAGATACTTTGCGAAATAAGGATTAAGGATGGTGATTCTTAATCATACAGAAAACTCCTTTTTTCCTCAGTTTATAATTGCCCATATGAAGTTCTTGATGAGAGTTATTTTCCCCCTCCCTTCTTTCAACCAGCATTACATGGAAGAATAGTAGTATTTGATTTTTCATCAAAATATTTATTGTTTTTAGTCAAAGGATATTGCAAACAGTACAAAAGTAAATCTATAAATCAAAGGCATAAGTATTTGGGAATTCCAGTACTCATCTGCTGTCAGTTAAAACTTGAATGCAACTTTCATTAGGACTTCTTAAGAAAGCCAAACAATCCACCTGCCCCCAAACAGAGAAAAACTCATGTTTAGACGACCTTGGCTCATCCAGTTGGTGGATCCCCTTAACAGTCTATCCCCCGCTTTCTTCCCCATACTGGAATTTTCCCGGCTGCTGCTGCAAACGTGATAAGACGCCCATGTCTGAGAATAGGTGCACCACGGTATCGTTTGTTGACTGCCCTGTACACTGACACACATAATAAGATATATATTTTGTTCTGTCAGAATCATATAGTTGGAGGAATAGGAGATGCGGGCCATCTCACAGAAAGTTAAGTGAGTGCTTTCAGAAATACATCCTTCCAAATAAGCAGCTGACGTCTGCCAATACCTGAGTCCTCTAACTTTTTCCTTGACAGTGGCAAGTTGCTATCTTGCAGGAAAACACTGCAAGTTGATGATCTTTTTTCATGATAGCATGCCATGGGGCAGAAAGGGTGTTAGTAATTTTCCTTTCCATAAATTTTCTTTTTCATGGAGTAAAATCTGTTTACCAAGCTTAGGCTACCAGTCACTTACTGCTACATGGCCCATGCTTTTTAAAAAATGCAATATTATATACCGCCAGCTTTGAGCTACCCACCCCGCCCCCAATCTCATTTGCTCCTATCAGCATTTATCTGGGACACTCTGCTCTGTAATTTCATGCAACTGATACCAATATTCTTGTCTCCTCTTGATTTGATAGAGGGTTGGCCTGATTCTGCCGTCAGTTTTTCAGGTGTCCCTGTGGATAACGCAAGGAGTTTCTTTAAGAATCCATTCTGAGCAGTACTGATAGAAGGTAAAGGTTGCAAACCTAATCAATATTATATGAATTTCTGGAGGGGATATGGATATAATTGAAGTATACTATATATTATTAATTGTTATAATATTTGAATTAAATGGAGGTAGTATTTGTCTCCGGGGTGGTGGGAGCACTTTATTATTTACTTTTCTAATTATTGAGTTTTTGTATGTTTTGTATACAAAAACATACAAATCTCAGACTCAAAGCACACAGAACGTTTGCATAACTGGTTTTCCTACAAATATTTTGACCACAGATTCAATTAGTTGTCCCATTTTGAAAAGAATTTCAGAATCTTCTGAATACTTCTCAATGGTGTCAAATTTACAGCATCAAAAAATGGGTTTTCCGACTTAGTTGTTCATTGAAGTAAAGCCCTAAATATTTGAAAGAGCTACACAACTTAGTTGTGCACCCATTGCCCATTTGTATTTCCAGAACCTCCTTCCAAAAACCACAATTTTAACTTTTAGCAGTTGTTACTAAGATAAAGAACTAAAAGAGCCAAAAAGAGCCATTATAGATGAAAGAGTTATACAAAAAGGTGGCCAGAATACATCCTTGTCTGACCCCATGGAAGAGAGTAATGCCTTCTGTCAGGTGGAACTTGTGAATTTTGAACAATATTTTATCAATATTTGTATTAGCGATTTTTCCCTCATAGGCATGATCTTTTAACTGAGTTAAAAGCTGAGGCTAAACCTAAAAATGCTGATACATTTTCTTGGTGGGCCCTTGGATTGCTTTTCAAATTAGATGATGAAGGACTACAGTGATCTGCAGTGTTTGCCCTTTGCCAAAGCCTGCCTTTTTCTTCACCAATGAAGCGGTTAGCCCCCTTCCATATTTTGAATTTACACAGAAGATATGGGGCATAGTGCATAGAAGCTACTCTCAAATGGCTGTGATTATTAGGATCCAGTTCATCACCTTCTCTTACTGGGACCACTATACTAGAGGACCAGCTTGAAGGCAAGGTATGTGTTGTGTCGATATGCGTAAACAAGCCAAGAAAAGACGGGGATCCACCACTCAGGGTTTCTCTTGCATAGCTCAGGAGCTACCTGCACCCAGTGCTTTCCCCTTAGTGAGAGCTCTTATCTCCTTCATAACGTCCTCTCTAGGCACTGGCTTCCACGTGGGTATAATTTGTTCACTAGAGAATTTGGAAAGGGTGGACTAGTTATGAGAGGTGACAAAAAACCTTGCTGAATAAAGCAACTATTCTTCCGGTGAAATGGAAGCTTCCTTCATAATTCTGCCTTATCTTCCCCTACCATCACAACTCTCCAGCATATAGCTTCATTTTTGCATGTTAATGCCTGCCCCAGTCTTTCTACCCGTGCATATAAAAATCACCCCCTTTGAGTAGGTTTTTACAGAATGACCATTGAATCAACAGGACCACATTAGTTCCCTGTTTGTCTGACTAGGCTATTTTCCTTGGCCTTGCATTCTTTATCATACCAACTTACTAGTGACATGTTGTTGCTGTACAGATACATGTGGCTTCAAGATACTTTTGATGTATTTCTAATATGTTTCTAAGATTGCGTCTATGGGCATGGTTGTGGTTGCGATCATGCCCATCTATGGCCGCGATCATGGTCGTGCAGGGGAGATGGGCGCGACTGCAGTCATGCTGGAGGGGAGATGGCCGCAATCTTTGTTGTTCTATGTCACTTTGTTGTTCTTTGTCACTTTGTGTCAAATTTTTGTGATTAAAAAATGGTTACAGAATAGTTAACCTTATTTACATTGAACCTTATGGGGAAATTTGACTTGGGTCACGACCAATTTGGGTCGCAACCAGAGCTGTGGAACGGATTAAGTTCGTATGCCAAGGTACCACTGTATTGCAAATCTATGTTGGCTAGTGGAGTGCATCAAAGAATTTAAGAACACGATCAGTCTGTGATTTATAGAATATAGCAAAGCCTCTGACCATGTGGGCCGCGAGAAGCTCGTGAGCAGAGCCATGAGCAGAGCCGGCTAGAGCCGGGGGTCAGACTAGATGGCCCAGAAGACCCCTTCTGACTCACTCTGTTTCTATGTTTCTAACCTATGGATGGTCCTGAAAGAAACGGGAGTGCCTCAGCACTTCTTTGTCAGGATGTGTAAGCTGCAAGAAGCTGCTGTTAGGACAGAATGTGGAGAGAAAGAATGGTTTTCCATAGTCAGAGGTGTCAGACAAGGTTGTATTTATCTCTCTGTCTATTCAATCTGTACACAGAACATATCATAAAGAAAGCTGGATTAGGGTAGGAGGAATCAGTGAAAATTGGTAGAAGACACATCAAGAATTTAAGATATGCAGATGATACCATCTTACTGGCAGAAGAAAGTGCAACAACTGGACTGCAGCTGAACATTAGGAAAACAAAAATTTGGACTAGAGAATTGCAGATCTTTATTCTGTAATTGCTGAACAATGAAGAAATCAAAATTGTGAAAGATTCTGTTTACCTTGGCTCAGTCATCAATTGAAAAGGAGACTGCAGGCAAGAAATCTGAAGATGGAGACTTGGAAGGGCAACAATGAAGGAACTAGAACAGATAATCAACTGTGAGGATGTTTCACTGGAGACGAGGGCCAAGATCATTTATACTATGTATGGGTGTGAAAGCTGGACAGTGAAGAAAGCTGGCAGGGGAAAAAAGGGTTTGAAATA